GAAAAAGTACTCAGTTACGAAATAATTTAAAGAAGAATGAATGTCGGTCAACAAATAATTGGACATATAACACATAAAAAAGAATTTTAATTAGCAAATTAAGATACAAGAGTATTAGAAATTTGAGAGTCAAATAAAAGCATCTGTGAAACCAAATAAAATTTAGAATACCTAAAATTAGGAAAATTTGTAACGGAGTACACGGGGCCTCCTTTACCCAGAGAAGGTTCCCGATCCGTGAGTTAGTTATCGACTGATTCCCCAGAGCGCTGTGTTCTTAAGTACTCGCGCCTCTAGCTGTAAGTTAGTGAGTAAGTCCCCGAGGGGGAAGTGCTGGCGCCTAGAGAGAGAGAGTGGGGAAGGCAGGGTGAAGAAAGAAATACAACGACAAGACCGAGAAGACTCATTGTGACCGAGGAATCTCGTTGAACGCATCGCAACTTTAGTAAGAACTGAACACAGGTTCAAGAGAAATATCCAGAGCACGAGTGACGGTGACCGGATTTTCGCTGCCAAGCAGTAACCCGAGGAGATAATTGCCGAGGATTTATTCCAAGGAAAAACTTACACCAGCCTGGAAAAAGGAGTTGTAGCTCGTCGAGGGAGTGCACGAGTAGGAAATTAATAAAGCGTAAAACTCCAGGTACAATTATCAGGTCTGATTTTATTTCTCGGGTCGGCGGCGTCAGCCAGGCAACACGTCGGCTGAAGGTCACCGCCATTTCGCGTTCGGTCACAATCGCTAGTCATTGTAATTATTAAATTAAGTTCAATATTAATATTAGAAACATTATAGACAAATAATTAATAGTACTAGGGTTATTAATTAATTTGTTTAGCAAAGTAAGATGTCTCTGTGATTACGTATTTTACACGTAGGCCTGTCTGGGTTGATAATACTAGGCATTAAGTCGGGTTATTAATTCCAGATTTTCGCCAGGTGTAAAATTTATTTATTTGAGAATTTTTAAACAATAATTTGGCTTAAGCCAATAGAAAATAGAATTGAGTAAACCGTAAAAGTACGATAAATTAAGTTAAAATTTATTCCGATCCGAAGTTATTTGTATAAAGTATTTGGCGCATTAATTAATAATTGTTTAATTTAAATTAAACGTAGATTCAGGAAATATCCATTAAAATTAATAGAATTATCAATCCAAATTATTTAGTCAAGAAAACAGGGAATATAAAAATGTGTAAAAAAATTTCA